TGGCTGTGAGGGTGCGCATGTCCCTTTAAGGAATGGCTGCAGCCAGGAACCACAGACGTGCAACCCATGGCCCAGATTGTCCACCAGGGCTTGTTCCTGGAGGCCAATAATTTCGAAAGAAAGGGCTCCCCCCGTCCAGACTCACGTTCTTTCAACGGATCTCCCTCGAAAAAGGCGTTCTTCCTCGTGAAACGAGGTTTACCGCCGTCGAAAGAAAAGCCGCGTTCTTTCGATTTAATTTCGAAAGAACGCGGCTTGAGTCTGGACGCAGGGGAAGTTCTTTCGAAAAAAGGCTACTTTTTTCGAAAGAACCCCTGAGTGTGGACACAGCCAATGAGGCATTGGGGCCTTTTTCCTTTGAAGCCATGGAAAGTATGTTTAACTGCTTTTTTGGCTCATCTTACATCCATTAGAGAGTATAATGAGCCTAAATCTATGTTCATTTGTGCCATTATCAGGAAATGAATCCAAGAGTGATAGGCTGTCATGTTAACTACCCTGACTGTTTACCTCACAGCTTGCCAGCTAGCCTCTTAAAGATTCTTCTTAGTCTGCGTGGGGGCAGAGAGAGAATTTTTTTGGTTTGTGTTTATACAGGACCTAGTTAGTGGGTTCCTGATTCATGACTAGGCCTCCTAAGCATTATGGTAATACAAATAAATCAATAATAATAAATAATAACAACAATAACAATAATAATTAATAAATATCCTTTAGTAAAAATATAATAAAGACACTACAATTAAGCAGACTTTTCCCAAATTTCTTAAACTTACAGCTGGCTTGTGCTTTGATGCCTTTTCTTTCTCCTTGCTCCCTTTTTTGTTGCTAGTGAAGTAATGCAAGGTTCCATATTCCATCAAGGCAGCAAACACAAAAATGAAGCAAACTGAAACAAAAAGGTCCATTGCTGTCACATACGAAACCTTGGGAAGAGATTTCCTAGCAATTGTACTTAGTGTTGTCATAGTCAATACTGTAGTAATACCTGTTCAAAAGAAAGAAAAGAAAGGAACAAGGAAATAAAGGAACAAAGGGAGATATTCAATAATGATCCTACAAACAGATGTAGTTGTTAAGCATTAATGTATTTACTTTTGTGAACAAGCAAACAGGCACAGTATTTCCCAGTACAATCAGATCTTAGCAAACTGACCCCTGCACTACACAGAGCCTATTGACTGGTGAGGCTTCAATCAGCACCGATAAGTGTGCCACAAGTTCATCCCCATTTATCCAAATACCAGTATTGGGGCTGAGAGAGAGAGAGATGATTTTAGTCTCTAGTTCAAGTCCAAATAATTCTGTATAAAATGCTGTAAAGGCCTGTTAATGTAAATTTTCAATGTACTTAACTCTGCACTGTGCTGGGAGAACACAGACAATTTAAACATTTAAACAATACAAATAAAGAACAAACATCTAGGAAAAAGGTGTCCCACTTAACCCAGAAAAATCCAGAAGAAAGGGGTAACTGGGTAGTATGGAATGGCCCCTGACAGGCAGGAGGTTAAACTAGATGATCTAATGATCCCTTCTGGTCTTCAACTCTATGAATGCTCTAACTCACAGAAGCATTCTACATACGACTCACTACACAGACTTGACATACGAGCCCATCACACTGATTTTAATAACTATACATTCAGAATCTGCACCAAATCACAATTCATTAATGTAATATAATATAAAATTGTTGTATTTTCTGTTTCAAAAGGATTAACTTCAGAATTCAAGGGTTACTCCAGTTCCAGATTGACTCGGCTGATAATACTGATAAAAATCTAGTGGGATTTTAAATATCTCCCAATAGGTATTTTTAAATCCCAGTAGGTGCCCATCTGCATTTTAGGTACCTTCAAAAATCTGAATCACTGTGCTTTGGAAAGGCACAATTTCTGTCAATGATCTGCCATACATGTGGGAGGGGCGAGCAGTCAGCATGGTTTTGGGGTTTTTTTGTCCCCTAAACCCCACAATGATGTCATATCACATTAGCTCCATTTACAAGTAAAATATCTGACGACCACACCATTTCATCTACCAGTCAGTAAAATCATCATGGAATCTGACAGTCAACTAGGGTTCTTTATTGCTTACACATCAGTCAACATCAATTAATCCAAGGGCATAAATTATAGGTGCAGTACTATACATCGCTAGAACATACCTGAAACACATTTTAATTCGAATAGGGTTATTGTTGCTGGTATAAGAGCTGGAAAATATTAGCTTGATTGTTATATCCTAGGTTAAGTTTCCAGGGCTGGTAGTTGACCAATTGTTTATGCAGTTGGCGAGAGACAATAAATCAAGAACATAGGATGCCATATTTACATTTTCTTTTCAGACTGTACTAAGGCCAAAGTTTGAATGCTATCCTTTAGAGGTATTTTATATATAGATTCTAAATATCAGGAGATGTGTCAAATCATTAGCTTTAAACTCTAGTCACTAAAATTTTATATAACTTTTTGTTAATTAAATAACATGGAACTAAGCGATTTAAAAAAAATCTGTATCTTCTTGTGTTCTTTCTGTACAATAATGCTGTCAATAAATTACTGTCTCCCATACTCCAGTACTAAAATAACAGTATATTGAACTAAGAGATTTATTTGCAACTACATTTGTAAGTGTTCTCCTGCAAACTGAAAGTGTTTATTTGATGTCAGTACTTTTGAAGAGAGCATAAATAACTGCAATATGTTAACAAAAATAAATATGATTTCTTTAGTACTTTTAAAAGGAGAAACTGTTTTGGCTACTACTTTTCTTAAACTGAATTATTAAATGAGCTGGAATGAGTGCCTTAACCAAATGTTAAAACAGAACCCATATCGAAAGGATGATGATACATTTAGACTGATATGCTGCAATCAGATCCTTGACATGGAGCCTAACAAAACTATGGAAATGGGGACTTATTCAGCTCTCACACGTTTAACTCCATCATTATTTTCAACTGAGATACTCCTAACTTTTGCAAGTGTTAGAGAATCAGACATTAAACACAACTATTGTTCCTGTTTACAAGTTCCTTTCCCTTCTATCTCACTGAGAAAGGAGCAAGAGAAGAGAAACCCCATGGTCCTAGGCCAAAACAAACACAGGTACATTAAAAACTGGGATTAGTTAATCTAGGAACAGGAGGTTACTCACGGTCAATGTTCCCTCTAAACTGTGGGGCAGCACAGCTTCACAGGTGATTAATCAGCCCCACCCAGTCAGAGGCTCAGGGCTCCATGCATGGAGCTAACTGACTGGGCAAGGCTGATTAATTATTACCTGTGAAAATGTATTGCTGCACAGTTTGGAGGGCACACTGCTTGCCATGTGCAGTAACTGACTTTCTTCTAGATGGGTGTCCTTGTGAGTGCTCCTCTGTGGGTCAAAGTAAGTCCCTGCATCTTCGACTGCAGAGTTTGACAGCAGTCCCCTTATGGGCCATGAATGTGCAGTGCCTGCCTCGTGAACTGTCAGAGCTTGAATAGCACGTGCATGATTTGGACTCCTCAGTTCCTTCTCTACAATAGAGTGTGCACCAGTGTCCAAAGTAGAGGAGAGGAGAGTAGATAATGGAGCACCCATAGGCATATTCATCCTGAAGAATGTCAGTCACTGCACACAGTAAGTAACCTCTTCTCCTTCAAGAGATGTCCCTGTGAGTAGTCCAACATAGGCGACTGTGTACTAGTAGTATCTGTTAAGATGGTTGGGGCTTAGGATCACGTAAGAGGGCAGTTGATAGTACGGTTCTTCCCAGTCTCACGGTTGATGAGGGGCCTTGCATGAGAGTGTTATATTTAGCAAAGATGAGAACTGATGCCCAGATGTCAGAGAACAGAACATTATGGAGAAATGAAGTAGAGGTGGACACAGATTTAGCAGGCTGGACTTGTCTCAGTTGGTACCAGAGATGTATTCAGCCTAATATCCATTTGCCTTATAAGCACAGAGTGATTGAAACAAACAGCTTGGCAGTCTGTCTGAATGGTTTCATCCCATCCAGATAGAAGGATAATATTCTATGTACATCAAGTGTGTGCACAGCTGCTTCAAATACATTAGTGAATGGTTTGGTAAAGAATATTGGGAGATGGGTTGGAGAAGTGGATCTTCAGCATAAATTTAGGATGTGTGTGTAATGTGACTCTGTCACTGAAGAATATAGTGTATAGAGGTTCCACCATCTGGGCTCCGAGTTCTCTGACACATCTGGCTGATGTAATTGCCACCAAAAAGTAGTTTGTCATGGATAGATGGAGAAGGGAACAGGTAGCTTCAAAGAGTTTGTACATCAAGGCCTGGAGGACTAAGTGTAAGTCCAGGGTTCTACTGGTGGTCGTACGTCTGGGTATACATAGCATCTGAATGCCTTTCAGGAATCTCTTAGTGACAAGGTGGGCAAAGACAATGTCACTATCAATCTCATGATGGAATGCCATGATTGCCACAAAAGTGAACTTTGATTGAACTGGGGGAGAAGCCCAACAATTTCAGTTCTAAGAAGCAGTCTAGAGGGAGTGGAAGAGGGGTGGAAAAAACGTGTTAGGCAACACACCAACAAGTGAACCTTTTCCATGTTTGGAGATACATTGTGCAAATAGCATGTGTCCAACTGTGTAGGAAAACTGCCTGGACTGGTTCAGAACATTCTAATTCTTCATGAATAGTCATGCTTTGAGATAAAAATGTCCTTCATTGGAGCGATACCACTAGCTTCTGTACTGGAATAGGAGCCT